ATCGATTGACAGAAAGTTGGATGTTCAAGGTTCTTAGAACTTTCCCAGTCCATTTTGCATCATAATAATCGACGCAGCAAGCTCCACAGTGTTGGTGTTGTCCTTTTACCAAGTTTTCGGTCGTATAAACATATCTATTGATGGGAAAAATTTTGATTTATTCAGATTTTTCAACCTTCAAACTTCAACGGTAAAAGAAGGGTCACTGGGTAACTAAACTATGTTGTCATCGATTGCAGTATTTCACCTCATACATGTGAGATTGTAGAAGTTCTACAAAATTTTGACACATCGCGGTTAAATCTGGATTTAGGGGAAAATGGAGTAATCAAGCCGAATCTCCAAAAACACACAAAATATTGGGAAGGAGAAAAAAGGTGAATTTGAAAATAAACACTTACGGGTTAGAAAAAGCACATTTTATGTGTTTCTCCATCGTCGAAAAAACATACAGTTAGAAGATTATATTGATCATGAGTTGACGGTTGCTCCCTATAATAACCTTGCCAGTGTTTGTCTTGATGATGTGAACTATGGCGGAATATAAGCACATATGGATTGTACTGATCTAAGACGTGCTTTATTTTCCTTAGAACTTGTCTCATATATATAAATCTATAAAAACCTTGGTCTGCTTCCTGTAGTAGATAAAAGGGTCCAATTTTGTGGTAGATTGAACCCGGTGCTCTAAATGTGTATGCTCCATTTCTAGCATTTGCAAAATTTTCATTAACATTCATGGCCATTGATGCAAAAGAAAAGACATGATTCTAGGCTCGAACATACTGTCTGAAATGCCTTTCTTGTGACGTTTCATCTGAAAATAATTGAAGAAGTTCAATAGGTGGTGGTGGTTTTTGGTTTTTTTTGGGGGGCGGTGTGGAGGGTGGGGGGCAACTTAGTCTTCCCGTTCAAGCAACATGAGTTCTTAGATTCGAGATGAAAGAGAATTGGTTTTATGATCGAACCTCTCAATCAAGTTCTGATCGGATGATATTTTCAAGCTTGAACTTGATTTTTCTTAGCTTATTTGTGGACCGACCTTGAGCTAATGGTTGGCTCGATTCAACTCATTATTTTTAAGATGTGCACTCATGAGAGAATTGTGATCAATTTGAAGATTTTCAGTAAGAACGCTAACCTTTACATACAAATCTAGCTTTAATGAACTAGTCAAGTTTAAACCAAACTCACAAAAAGAAATGAGTTGCCCGCGAACTTCAAACCAAAACTTAAGCTCGACCCATTTTTCTAGCAAACCTAATGTTTGTTGTTTAACTCGTTCCTTTACAAACAGAGCTTAACAAGCGAATACAAAGAGGACTCCATCGAGCTGGACTAGGCTTACAAAATGGTGGGTCTATGTGAAACCAGCCCAAACCTTCTTCTTCGAGCAAAGAAGTCTTCCAATTCGGGCTTACAAGAGGTGACAATGGAGAGGCCAGATTGCGACAACACTCTTCTTATTTTATTTTTTAAAAATTTACTCAAGGGACTTGTTTATATGTGCTTTTAAAATAACCGAAAATATTTTTGATGAAATTGTTTTTGAGCCTCCAAAAGCACTTAAAATGTTTTATGCAAGAATCACCAGTTATGTACTTTTGTAGAAAGCACTTTAAGTGCTTTTTCATTATTCACTTGCATTTTTACTAAAAGTTAGCTTCAAAAGCACTTTCATTAAACTTATTTTCAGTCATTTTAAAAACACGAGCCCTTACATAATGAGAGCAGTAAAGAATACAAATAGAGGAAGTAAGAAATGAGAATCGGTATATCTCAATCCTGATTTTCAACTATTAGATTCCATACGTATTAAGTAAACACAAGAAAGAAAGCCAAAAATTGCTTGGAATCATGCAGAAGGATTAAAGAAGTGGTTTTTGGGTGGCGGCCAAGTCCCAATCACCGAAGGGGCCGAGCAACAAACAATTAAAAATGGAAACAAAGAATAGTAAACCCAGAGCCCAAGGCTCAATGGGCCTTTAGCTTTCTAGGTATAAATACCATTTCCATCTCCCTGCCAAACAGGAAGACACTCAGTCGCAGCCACACCCGCAGCGGAAGACGGAAACCAGCTCTCCGCTACATGTCAGTAGTTCCTCTCTCCAATCGCCACCGTCTTTACTTGTTCTAGGGTTTCAAAAATCCCCAATTTTTCTTCGTTTTTTCTCTTGGAATCGCACGGGGATTTCAATTTGGGATGTCTGATAGGGTTTTTCTGATTTCTGAGGTTTTTCTTTCTTCTTGAAATTGTTGGGTTCGGGATTGATTTTTATTTATTTTTTTATTTTTTTTACCAGCAAACATTATGGCGGACGACAATCAGAATGAGGTGAAGGACGAGGTGGTAGCAGATGTATGTTCAGATTCTTGCAATAATAAATGAATTTCCACTGCCTGCCCTGTTTATGCAATACATGTTAAATTTCTTTTGCAATATTTGTCTTTTCGGTGTTCTTTCCAATAGCATTATTGTATATATTTTAGATGGTGCTTTACCGCAGTGGCGGAAAACAATAATGCATGTGCACCCCCTAACATTTAACAATTTAACCCACTAACGCTATCATTTGTCCCCCAAAAAAAAAAAAAAAATTTGATTCCCTACCTGTTGTGCATTACATTTGTTTTGGAATTTGAGATAGATATGGTATTGTTGTGGTTTTTGTTCAAGACTTGCTGAATGGTTAATCTGAGTATTCTTATAATAAATTCGGCTTCAATGCCTTATTATTGAATATTGTATATAAGTTTTTCGCAATACGAAAGTTGGAATAGATTTTGCCCTTTTCTTTAAAAGGTTTACCTGAGAATTATATCTAAGTTTTCCTTTGGTAGCAACTAATTGTAGTACAATACCAATCTTATCTATTTCCTTAGTATGGTAATAGTTGAAAAGCAGGTTGGAGTTTATTGCAATAAATTTAACAGAAGTCGAAAATGTATTGATGTAATAAAGATTATGTTATGGTAGCGGCTCCATGAAGTGTGCCTTTAGTATAAAAATCCAATGGAAAAAAATGGTGCTGATTCATCTTAGACTTAGAGAGGAAAAAGTTATCCACATTGTTTTGCATTCTTTAAAGGTTGCTGCGATTCCCCGTCTAGAAGTTTGTGGTTCTGAGTGGTAGAGCTAACTGTTGTGATCTTCATCCTCTTGTGCAGATTGCTCCCTTTGATCCTACTAAAAAGAAGAAAAAGAAGAAGGTTGTTATTCAGGATACTACTGATGATTCTGTGGACAAGTTGGCCGAGAAAACGGAAACCTTGACAGGTGGTTCAATTGAACAACCATTTTTTATTTGTGCTGTATTGTTTTACAAGTACATTCGTTGAGACTTGGTACTTTTTGTCATTGCAGTTTCTGAGGGGCAGGAGAGTACGTTTACTGGTTTGAAAAAGAAGAAGAAGAAGCCAGTAAGTTACCAAGATTTTCCACTGTTTACAATCTGAATATTTTTTCTGAATAATGATTTTTGGCGGTTGCTGTGATTATAGGTTGAGACCAGTATCTTGAATGAAGAGAGTGGTGACCCAGTGGAAGATTTGAATGGTAAGACTTTAATAAGTTTTTTAGGCTTATGAAATGCCTGCAACCTTTGTGTCTCCAAAAAAATTGATTGAGATTTTATATGTTTGGCCTTTTAGAGCGCACTGGTGAGGATGAGGAAGGAGAAGGGATTGTTCTAGAGACTCCATCATATCCTTGGGAAGGGAGTGATCGTGATTACACTTATGAAGAAGTGTGTAAATTATATCATTTAAATTACAACTCTCTCATAGTACAGTGATGGTTCCTTGACCTCTACACATGTATGCTTTATTAATTTTACCCATGTAATGCATGCAGCTTCTTGATAGGGTGTTTAACATTCTTCGCGAAAATAACCCTGATCTGGCTGGAGACAGGCGTAGGACAGTGATGAGGCCTCCACAAGTTCTTCGTGAGGGCACAAAGAAAACGGTTTTTGTGAATTTCATGGATCTGTGCAAGACGTAGGTTTCAGTTCCCTGAACCAAAACCATTGTTTATATCTCATTTGCTTTGATCTGTTTTGTTCTTCTTATTTAAGTTATTGTCCATTAATCTCTTTCTATTGTTTCTTTGCTTTTCTTTTTATGTACTAATCCGAGGAAAGGTCTCCGAAACAATTTCGTGGCAAAGAACAATTGTGTATACAACTGCTTCTTGTTTTCATAATCAAATGTGCTTACTGTTTGACATATGTGAAGGCGTTTATATAGACTGCACATTGTTAGCCGATGAGCCTAATGTTAGAATCATGAAAATATTACTTATCATATTACCAAATTATTTCCTAAAGCTATGGTTGATTTCATCTGTTTAGTTAAAAGGAGTAAACCCTTCTATCTTGAAATTTCAGGATGCATAGGCAACCAGATCACGTCATGGCTTTCTTGCTTGCCGAACTGGGAACTAGTGGATCACTTGATGGACAGCAGAGGTTGGTTGTTAAGGGAAGATTTGCCCCAAAAAATTTCGAAGGAATACTGCGGCGATATGTCAGTAAGTCCCTTGTTCTGTGGTTTGATTTATTTATTTTTATTGCAATTGTTAATCTGGAGTGGTTCGATGGGAGAGTGTTCTGCATACGCCTTACTTATTATGCATGCTTAGCTGTTATGTCTATCTTTTTGTATGTGCTCAGTCTGTTCGCACATTTAATTATTCTTTCATTTTTACTCATGGAACTTCCTTTCTTCCAGATGAATATGTCATTTGCCTTGGGTGCAAAAGTCCAGACACTATACTTTCAAAGGAGAATCGTCTCTTCTTTCTCAGATGCGAGAAGGTAACAATCATATTGCTATAGCCTTTTCTAATGTTGATTGGCCATTGGTTTTCTAATGTTGGTGGTTACGACTATCTGGCATCCCCCTTGGGTTCTAATTTATACAAAGTTGTTCGTGCACAACATAAAAGAAAATAAAGAAGGTTTTCTGTGTTTTTACGCTGCTGCATAATATATTGTTATAGAGGCCTATGATGATCTAAAGAATTGCCTACATTGTCAGATTATTTCTCATGATAGAGTAACCTAAATTATTTCCGAGGCCTCGCGGGAAAGTGATATGTTTAGAAAGGGGTGGTGGGACTAAACCCTTGGGGTTTCGGGTGAAGTATTATTTTTCTTCTTCAGGGGGTTTTCGTTACTCTTAAAATATATAGCTATGGCGTTTAAGTTCATCTGCCCGTAATTTCAACGTTAATAATAGGGATATACTACTGATCGTTCCAGTTTTACAATTCTTGATTTGGAGATATTTTGCCTTGCTTTCATTTGATAATTTATTTGACAATTCTTTCTGTTGCAGTGTGGTTCTGGACGATCAGTTGCTCCGATTAAAGCTGGTTTTATGGCTCGGGTTGGGCGAAGGAACGCCGGGACATAAATTTAGCCTGTTGTCGACTCGTTGTTTACTAGCGGTTATTGAGTTTTCGAGTTGCATATTTGCTATCTACAACACTAACAATTTTCCTGTGACATTCGGATGTTGAGAATTTTCTTGCACTGTTTCATATTTATATCTTTTCTTAGTGCTTAGTGACCTTTCTAAACGTAGCTTCTGCTGATGGTGCTCTATTGTTTGTGTTTAGCAATCACTTCGATGTATCATCTTCTCCAATCCTCATTGTTCTTCCTTCTTCATCTCTCTCGAAATTTAGTCGGTCACTCCCATGTCGAAATTAAGATGGGGACGGGGAGTTGGATTGCGAGACGAGTGCTCGAAGGGCTCTTGGCATTCTTATTTGGGGAGCACAATGGAAAATTGGTTCTCCATTCTGGAAACATGAGTTCATGTTTGGTCAGATTCGTCTGCCAATTCGGTAGCAGTGGAGAGTCGAAGTCAATTTTGTTCTGTAAATTACGAAAAACCGGCAGAAAAATGAACGTCCCGATACTACTTCACGGCAGATTCGTGAATTTCTTCAACGTGGACGATAGTTAAATTCGAAGGATCACTTCCGAAGGAGGGATGGCGGCATCCCACTATAAGCAGAAAGCGATCCAGTTCGCAAGAAATTGTTGATCCGATTAAGAGCCAGTCAGTAGGATGTCACGTGTTAAATTTGAATCGGTTATCCTTAATCCATATTTACATTTATTTATAATTGGATCACGTACTTGGATCATCAGATTTGACTTGTCGATTCATATTCGATAAGCATGAAATCACGTCGAATCGGATCATTAATATGATTGAAGACATAAAAATATAATCTAAGACATGAAAAAGGCTAAATATCATTAGTAACTTCATCTTTTATTATATTCACCTATTTTAAATTTGAACTTTTCATATTTTATTACCAAAAAAAACGTGTGAATTTCGAATGCATAAAAAACTTACTTTTAATACTATGCATAAGTATATTCTTATACAAATTCATTTAAAATCAAATTTATTGAATTCATATCGTAATTAAAATCCTCAATCCACATTCTATTATTTCCATCAGATTCAAATTAAAATCCGATTCATTGACATGTCTTTTTTTTTTTTTCCTTTTTTCTTTTTTATTGTCACAATCCACTGGCAGGTTTAGGGATGTCCATATTGTTGAAGTTGGGTGCCTCTTTTGTATCTCACCAAGTGATAAATTTGCTTAGCCTACCTAACAAATGGTATGTACATCTTCTGATACACCTTTTTTCCACAGCTTTTGTAATCCAGTGTCGAAATAGCTGCATTTTCCAACACTTCCCAGTTAATGTTATAAAAAATCCAAGCCATTTACCGCTTTGTATTGTTTGATTGTCAACTTGAACTACACATTTTGTAGCAAAAGTTAACTGGATTCATAGTTTTTTCCGGATTTACAGTTTGACAAGAGAACGGACATTTCACTACTCTCACAATATATCTTGACGATGTTGATCGCTTCGCTAGATACCTGTTGAAATATTACTGTAACTTCCACCAATGATGGTGTTGCTGAGGAGATACACAGTGGCTTTGTTAGCAAACCAGAAGCCCGATTTGCAGAGGTAGATGCAACCGAAGCACTTCCAAGGCGTGTCTTTGTGCACCCTGAGTTGCAGTATCCACTGTTCCTTCCATACTTGGCCCTTTGCCAAAGCAAATGAGCAGGTGCCTAATTAATAATTAAAGAGTAATGCTACACTTACCATCTATTTATACTATATGGTACAACTGGTTGGTAAAAGTAGCATTTTTGATAATTAAAACATGCACCCATCAAATGGTTATAATTTTTTTGCTTTCGGTTAAATAGTTGTAATTTGTGAGCTTTATTGAAAAGGGTTTGCGCTAAATTTATTTTAACTAAAGTCATCATATAACTTTGTTTAATGAAAATAGCTTAAATTTTAATAAAAAAAGACTTAAATTTTAATGAAATGGATAGAAGTTGTATATAATAAAAAAATAAAATAGAAAATTGTAATAAAAACTGACACGGGGACTAGCGCATCCATCAACACATTATTTCTGAAACTGAACGGTACTATACTATTTCTGAAACTGAACACTATTTATGAAACTGAACACTAATTATTTCTAAAACTAAACTTGAGTACTATATTATTTCTGAAATTGAACACGCATGCTACACTATTTTCAAAACTAAACACATGCAATATTTCTTAAACTAAATATGGTATATCTCCAAAAAGTCAAACGACTATTCATCTCTCTTATCTTCTTGAATTTCCTCAGCACTTTCTCACTTTCCAGACACCTTTTCTTCTAATTTTCTTCGATTCTCATCAAATTTTCTCTGAATCTCTTAATTTTCTTAGCTTTCTTCAACTTAAGCTGCCTCCTTTGGTTTCAACGTTTTAATGTTCCATCATCTTTTATGTATTTTTGTTAATTCAATTGATTATATATATAATTTTTATAAATATCTTTCTCTGCTACTACAACTTGCTGCAACTGTATTTTCCGTATGTTGTTTAGTGCGATTATCCCATCGTTCTGCATGTTCGTCTTCCTTCATTTTATGAAGAACTAAAAGGGGTCTCCTTGAGAAATTGAAGATTTTTCAGTTGAAGGATTATATTGTGCGCATCTTCAAGATTTGATCCGGCGGCCTGCTCACACCAATGAAAGGATTTTTTACTTCAGGATCAATTCTTCGGCAGTGTTGTTATATTAGATTAGAGTGATCGACTTGAGTTTAGTTTTCAATTAAAGGGATCAACATCAGGGTTGGTCCAGAGATTTTTAAGGTCCGGGACAATGTAAAAAAATATGCCCTAACTTCATATAAGAAAATTATTTATTTTCATACGTAAGATATCGATAAAATTATAATTAGAAAAGCAGTTCAAACTCAATAATTTAGAAACACAGAAAGACTAATATATTTTGTATCCAGAGAAGGAAACCAAAAAACTCCGAGCTTACATATAGATAAACGATAAGTTTTGTTTTCCATCTGAACTTTTAAAGTGTTTTTGTATAAATCGTGATGTGTTTTTTTTTATTTACTAACTTTGTCAATATAAGACTCAAAAAATAATGATGTTTTTGAGTCTTTAATTAATATGTTTAAGTAATGAATGGGCACTAAATTAAACCTTTTGATGACACGTCATATGATTTGTAAATTTGCTCTAAAAATTTGGTCTACTTATTACTCTTTGTAGAAGATTAGACTTGAATTCAAACAAATAGCAACCCACATAGCTATTAGTTAGTAACTAAAAATAAATTAACAACCAAACAAATTTTTCGTAAAAATTAAAAAGAATAAATACGTATATAGCATTTCGAACTTAGGAAATCTTGTTGATTTTAAACAACCTCTTCATTATTTTCAAATGACAAAACCGCCACTTCTAGTTAAATTTCTTTGTCATCAAACCAAATTCTATAAATTTATACTTTAATGAAAATATGTATAAATATACCGCCCAAATAATTTTGGTGCCCCAAATTTTTTTTTGGACCCTGGACGATCACTCTGCCAATGGGCCTAGACCAAGCCTGATCAACGTTTGCAGTTGTTGCAATGCACGAGTTCATTCTCTGCTGGGTTGGGTGGCTTTCCACACGCTTCATTAGGGGGTTTTTTTCTTCCCCTTATCATTAAATAGAGTTATAAGTTTTTTTATTTATTAAAATTTAAAGTTTTGAAGTTGTTTTCATTAGTTTTTCTTTATAATTTCTTCCTTTTGGTAATAAGTTAATAAAATTAAACCACCCAAAGGGTTAAAAATGTACATCACTCTTCTAAACTATCGAAAGGGAAAATGATAAAATTGGATTTTGTAAATATGATTTGAGAGTATGCTTGTATTTTCTACGTAGAATGTTCTACTAAATATGCATTTTGCTCAATGGTGGAGCCATGAATTATTTGGCGGTGGGCTAAGCTAAACTTATAATTATGAAATCAAATTCTCAATAATTTTTTTTTTTTGTTGCCTACATAAAGTTATATAATAGTGAACCTAAAAGTCATAATTTGAAGCAAGAAATTTATAATCTGTTTTTTAGGCTTTTAACCTCGGAACTTTCAATTGAATAAAATAAAGAATCATGTGTGGTATGGAAATTTTAATTTATTACTATTAAATTTTGGTATTACTTAAAGTGATGAGTTTATTTAACATTTACTAACTCGTATTTTACCTAAAAAACAGCTCTAAGATTTAAAATTTTCATTTGTAGGTATGGTATGACAATTAAAAATCATAAATAGCTCAATAATTAATATTTTTAAGCTTAAAGAACTTCTCCCTATGCTATAGTCCACCGAAACCTTATACTTGGTTCCGCCGATGACTTTGCATATTCTCAAAATAAAAAATAAAAAAATATTTTTGCTGAGGAGGCCTATGAAGATTTACGTCGACGTCGGCTGAGATTTGTCTTGTGTATGAAAGAGTAATACCTATCTGAGGCTTCCTCGTTAGATTTATTTATTTTTCTTTCTCTTGTCTTTATTATTAAATAAAGTTATTAGATGATTTTTAGTTAAAATTCAAAGTTTTGAAACCATTTTCATTAATTTTCCTTTATAATTTCTTCCTTTCATAATAAGTTAACAAAATCAAAACACCCAATAGGATAAACTTGGCTTTTCT